AATACTAACAATCTCCTCCCCCTCCTGCTTCGCATTGCCATCATCATTGCAGCTGACATTTATGGAACACCTGTCTTGTGCTGGAAACCCTGGTGGCATTGTGGTTAAGAGCTGCGGCTGCTAACCAAAAAGGTCCACAGTTTGAATCCACCAGGTGCTCCTTGGAAACTCTGTGGGGCAGTTCTGCTCTATCCGATAGGGTCACTATGAGTCGGAATCGACTCGATGGCAGTGGGTTCGGTTTTTTTGGGTTTTATCTTGTGCTCGGCACGTGTGAGCACGTTACATGATCACTTCATTCAGTCTTCACGTCCTCCTACAAGACAGGAACTAACCACCTCATTGTACAGTTTCCAAGGTCATACACTCCGTACTAGGCAGACTCCAAAAGTGAACTCAGGTCTGGTCAGTTTTTCAGCCTGGATTCCTAAACTGTCACACATTATAGCTTTTAGTTTAGGTCCCTGGCACTTCAAAAACCAAAACCCAAACCTGTTGCTGTTGAGCCAATCCTGACTCATAGCGACCCAGAGCTCCGAGTGAGCTGGATTTTAAGTGCCATCTCTGTGGGTCTCTGTCTACCTCCCAGTAAAAGCTTTGCAAAACTCTCACGGGGATTCTTCTATGCTTCCTTCCGATGTGGCTTCACAAAGTTCGGCTTTCCTCTTTTTATCTGAGTGAATCTAAATCTGTCTGCAGGCCTCCTGGCCCCTCACATCTACTTAACAAGCACATAATGTACGTTTGCTATTTTCATCTGTGTGAAATTGACTGCCTCTTTGTGGTGTGTCTAGACCACGCATTATTCAAACTTGGGTACATACCCACCGTTCCCTTGGTCAGTGGAGGACGGCGCAGATAAAAAAGAGGAAATTTGTGTTGTTGTTGTTGTTTAATTGGAGTGTTTCATGTATGTGGCAACAACAGAGGATTCATCTTAATTCTGATCAAAAGGATGAATGATAGATCTGAATTGAGACGGGCCCACTGTACCATAACATTCAAACACTTCTCTTTTGTTTTGTTTTCAACAGAAGCATGTTGTACACATTGCATGATGGAGCAGTTAATCAAGGAAATGTATAAATTACTATACTTATTTCCTCAAAAATGATTATTAATTTGCTTTTATTAATAGGATAAATTATTGTCTTTTCAATTGTGTCACATGCATGCAAAAGCTGGACAATGAAGAAGCAAGACAGAAGAAGAATGGATGCGTGCAGGTTGTGGTATTGGCAAAGAATACTGAATATACTATGGACTGCCAGAAGAACAAACAAATCAGTCTTAGAATATAACCAGAATGCTGCTTAGAAGCCAGGATGGCGAGACTTTTGCTCGCTTACTCTGGACTCGTCATCAGGAAAGACCAGTCGCTAGAAAAGGACATCATGTTTGGTAAAGTAGAGGCTCAGTGAAAATGAGGGAATCCCTCAGTGAGATGGATTGACACAATAGCCACAATAACACACTCAAACATACCAGTGATCATGAAGATGCCACCGGATCTGGCGACGTTTTGTTCTGTTATACATAAGGTCACCAGGAGTCAGAGCTAACTTAAGGAGAATTAACAACAACGACAAATTTTGGCTACACTGGTTACGTGGGGAGTTAGGTGGGCACCTCACAGATACAAAACAACTTGGGCCACTCTGCTGATTCTAAAAGCTGGGATTTGCAAAGTCAACAATTAGATAAACATTAGGTTATGGGGAAACAAGTCATTAAATGTTTTCTGCTTGCAGCTGCTAGGAATTGTGCAGTCTTTCTTAAGAGGCAATTTTAGAAATTAGAAAATCCTGGATTCTTTGGAAACATCCATTTTATTTTTAATGTTTCTTCTTTGCTCGAAGCTACAGATGTCACGATGCTCCTAAGGCACTATTGAAAGCTATTGGCCATTCTCCTCCCTTCAATCTTATTCTAAGTCTCAGCAGGCGTTCTCTAAATTCAAAATACTGAAGCACTGTGAGTTCCAACTCTCCCCTTGTAGGTACTGAGAGATCACACACTCGGCACACCCTACTGTTCCCCGTGGTCAGAACTCTTCTCCATTATGCAGTTATCTCTTCATTCTCACCCCAGCTAAGTGTTCTGGTGTAACTCAGTTTGACACATTACCGGGAATCTTACACTGTTCAAAAATGCTACCCAAGTGGGGCACGCCATTTACTTGCATTGAAAATTACATTTGAGAAGCCCTGTCCATGTTATTAAAACTGTCACAGTTACTGTGAAATCTTCTTCCAGATGCTGGTCTGTGACTCTGGCACAGGAATTGCCAACTTGAGTTTTGTGATGCCCCAGATTAATCACAAGGGGCACACTGACATTCTAAGAGAGTGTCCCAGAAAAAAAAAACAAAAAAACAAAAAAACTAATTTTAAGTTTACATAATTTAAAATATAAGCTTAAATACTGTTTAACTAAATGAAACTCCAAAAACCTGGAAAATCACCACTGTGATGTATTTGTCCAAATGTGACCCAGACCAGGGCACTAAATTTCAGACATCTGGACACCTTTCATAAAATCTTCCTGAAAATTCCAAACCTCGGAGAGTAGAACCAATAGTTTTTAGGCTACAATATCTCCTGCCCCTAAATGTGAAATGAAATTTTAACATTAAATATGGATGGGTAATCAAAAACTACCAAAATTACACCAATTTCAATTAATTAAAGAGATCTGTGTACGTTGAGGGGTCCTGGTGGTGCAGTGGTTAAGAGCTTGGCTGCTAACTAAAAGGTCAGTAGTTCCAATCCACCAGCCGCTCCTTGGAAACCCTATGCGGCCATTCTACTCTGTCCTATAGGGTTGCTATGAGTTGGAATAGACTCGACAGCAACGGGTTTGGTTTTGTTTTTTCAAAACATATCTAAATAAATTCATAGATTTACGTAAATATTTTAAAACCCACATATGCACAAACACACGTATACTGACAAAATCAATAGCAAACGGTTCTTTTAAGAAATTTTGTCTGTGAGCCAATTCAAAGCAGATATAAGAGAGACTAAAAGTTTCCAGTATTTAGACAGAGATGAGGGGAAGACCACCTGGAGCTTTGCACAACCACGTAATAGTTAGAATCATATTCTTAAGCCCAATAATAGAAATGTCATCTCATATCACAAATCTAATGTAATAAAAGTGATTTCTTACTGAATACTGGAAAAGATGTGTTTCCTTTTAACACTTGGAATTCTTGTTCTAGTCTTCTCCGTAAATCTATTTGTTCAAATAAAACCTTCTGAAGTTCTTCTAATAAAGAAAAAAAAAAGAAGAGTTGTTTTACTAATCTTTACAAATAACTCCCCAGAGAACTGTTATATATGGCAATTTATTATTATAAGACAAAATATTTTACCAGTTTAAAAAGTCTTGCATAGACATAGGATAGATTTTGTGCAGAAATCTATGAATATAAATCAATGTAATATATTATTTTAAAGTATTATATTACAGTGTCATGTATTGATTGATATGTATGCATTAATCTCAATTATATCCACCCAATGGTCCATATATTATTCATATGGTGCTTGTCAAGCTTAAAATACGATGCTGAACAAAAATATCCTCCTATTATCTCAATAGTCTTAAAACTAAGAGGAGTTCTATAGAATTAAAACTTTTTTACCTTTTCCCATATTTTCTACATCCTTTTTGAGTGAATGAGGTGAATTGGTTTCTTGTGTGTGTTCACCTTAAAAATAGGACGGAAAAATATGATTAGTTTTGTGTAGGCTGCTTCCTGAAAGCTTTTCTCTTCATTTTCTTTCAATATCTGCAAGAGAGCTTATTTGATATAATTTGAAACTAGAAGTCCTCAGGACCAAATGTTGTCATTTACTTGTGTACATTCCCCTAAAACCCTGGAGAACAACAGAAACTGAGGGCAGAGCATAGCCTATGGATGGTACCTATGGATGGCACTCAGTAAAAGAAGATTCCCAGTTAGTCCCTTCTCTCGGCCCCCACTGCTATCCGTCCTTTTCAACAAAGGTAATTGCTTGAATGGGCAAAAGAGGAGACTGGAAAATAAAGATTTCTGGTAGGGAATCTCATCAGAGTTCACCTCGTTCATGAAGTGAGGAAGCCTGGTTTCAACTGGAAGTTTCTCCAGACTCTGGAAGCTGAGGCCTCCCTGCCTTCTTGGGCCACCTAAATTTGGGGCAGTAAAACAGAAGTGGGAGGAGGCTATAGCTGCCCATGGGAGAGAATTTATAAGCCTGGAGGGGTTTCCAAATAATTGATACCAGTTACCATCAAGTTGATTCTGACTCATGGTGACCCTATGTGTGTCAGAGTGGAATTGTGCTCCATAGGATTTTCACTGGCTAATTTTTCAGAGGTTGATTGCTTCTGGGTGGACTAGAACCTCAAATCTTTCAGTTAGCAGGCAAGTGCACTAACCGTTTGTATCACCCAGGACTCAATAATTGACAGTTTTTTTTTTTAATTAATCAAAAACAGATGTGAAATAAGTAATTTCATGTTACTTTGTAATATTCACTTGCTTGCTGATAGTCTCTTAATGACTTGTCTTTGACAAATAAAAACTATTGTGGATAAAGGTTAGACTGTTACTCTTACTTAGCTTGATTATGTGCTAACTAGAATGAGGGCAAGCTTAGAAAATGCATTTATCTACAGTCATAAATTGAGTCTACATAATCCAGAAAACCTAAATAAACGAGAAAATCTAATCATTCGGCTAATCATAATTTCCCCTCCAAATTTCAACCTGATATCTGCAACTATCCACTTAATTTAATTAAGCTTTTCATTTTCATCTAAACAAGTAGTCCAGTCAAGGTGCTTTGAGGAGGTCTCCTGCGTTCTTCCCTTCTGTCCCCTCCACCCTAGGTTACCTCCCTCCTGTGTCCCCAGAGCGCCTCGCACTTGCCTTGGTCATGACGCTTTTGCTTACTCACTTCCCTTACCTGATGGGCTATCCTCAGTGCTATTTGAAGGCAGGGGCTCCGTCTTTCCTGTGGGCCAGTGCCTACCACAGTGCAGTACACATAATAGGCACTCGATAAAAGTGTCTTGAGCTGTTATTGAAAGGGACTCAGGAGGTCGTAAATTCTAAATTATAGCATGGTCAGAATCCATTACTTCAATTCTCTCCTTCCTATCTGTTTCCCTCAACAAGAAATGGAATGTAATGGCCCCAGGCACTTGTAGGCATACTGGGTGATTTCACTGTCAAGGTAAAAAGTTCTGCAAAGAGAGAAACAGAACTTCTCCCCAAAGCAGGGGCCTACAATATCACAGACAGACAGGAAAATCCTAAACATGATATTATTTAAATGGCTACTCTGCATTCCACCTGATGACATATGTATGTGTGTATAAAGCCAGTTCCCATTGTAGTCGACTCTGACTTATGGCAACCCATGTCTGTCAGAGTAGGGTTTCAATGGCTGATGTTTTGGAACTAGATTGCTGGGCCTTTCTTGATAGGCACCTCTGGGTGAACTCGAGCCTCCAAGCTTTCAGTTAGCAGCTGAGCATGTTAACTGTTTGCACCACCCAGAAGGGACTATAAATATATATCCCCAGAACATGTTCAGAGTTAGGGGAAGGAGTTTAACCCCTGGCCGTCCATCATTAAGACAATAATATTTTTGGCATCCCTAAGTTCCTTAATGACAGGCATTTTCTCTGATATCTAGATCATATTTGCACAACCTCATTCCCATTCTCAGCTTAAATGTGATCTCACTCTATAGGCTCTTGAACCTTAATACCTTGGCTTTCTTCTCCATGTAATAAGAAAATAATGAGGAAATACCTGTGAAGCATTTTAAGTATAGATCTCGATATAATTCCTAAAAAAAAAAAAAAATCATCTAAAGGAAGAGTAGCATGAAGGTTGATAACAAATTATAATTATGTAAACTAAAAATGGAGCCCTGGTGGCACAGTGGTTAAGAACTTGACTGCTAACCAAAAGGTCGGCAGCTCAAATCTACCAGCCACTCTTTGGAAACCCTATGGGTCAGTTCTTGTGTGTCTTGTAGGGTCCCTGTGAGTCAGAAACGACTCGACAGCAACGGGTTTGGTTTTTTTGTTTTTTTAACTAAAAATAATAGTACTTTCAAATGAAGATAAATGCAGTTTTGCCTATGTTTATTCTAGTCTCAGTTAACTAAGTGCATAGCAGTTTCATATGCATATATAATACTGAATCTGAAGAAGAAAGAAGTACACACATATCCCTGCATCCATCTACAGAGCACAATGAGATCATATCATTCTAGAACTTTCTCACTCACTCTAAAAGTGACTTAAATGAGATAGTTTGCTCCTGAATAGGCAACTCTAGAAGCTATGTTCTTATCACATTATAAGCTAGATTCTTTTTGATTCATTTGTATATTTTGTGGACTGTTTACCTTACATTTCAATTACAAAATTCAATTACAAAATTAAAACATGATATGTAAAGATCCATTTATTTTCCACTTCACAATTAGTAGCTTTACATGGCTATGAAAACCACTAAGCAAATAGCTAGTAAATGAAACTACCTCAACCGCTGGCAACTCCATCAATAACATTAAAAATAAGTCTTTGTTTTCATCAGCTTTGTGAAGATTTTATCGATCTTTTGCATTAGTGTCTATTTTAGACCGTTATTTTTACTGCAACTTCTGGGTAAAATATGCCAATCTGGAGCTTAGAAGATTCCAATGTCTCACTTACAAAGGGCTTTTAAAAATGCTTAAATGTTAGGTAAATAAAGAGCATGGAAGCTTCAGCTGCCTTCTGTGTATCTTTTACTGGACCGTTGCCTTCTGTATATCACTAATCTGTGGAAACCAGATTGTTAATGGTGGTTAAAAATGACCTCTGGGAGCCTAGATATGTTTGTTCACTATTACTGCTAATGTTTTCCATCTGGTTAAAAAAAGGCAGTCTAATACTAGATTAAATAAATGTGATTTAGTCGACAATGAGATTCCCATTTTTATAAATATTCCAGCAGGTTAGATCCATTTTGCTTTTTTTAAAATCAATGAATGAGTTTGGAGAAATCCAAAAGTTACAATGTTTACTTTCCTCCTCTACCTTCACCTTTTAAAAAAAGTTACTAAAGGCGGGGAGGGGCTGCGTACAGATCTTAATTATGCAGAGTCGTAGGAGGGAACATTATAATGTGGAAGACATATCTTTCTTGGAAGCCTGTCTTAAGTTGGACTGTAAAAGAAAACAGTTCAGTGGTTTAAAGTTGGAGAGTATCGGATAATTAGGACTTAACATTTATCCTGTGGACTAGGGGGGCTGAAAGCTGCTGCCTAGGAGTGTGTCTACACCAGTGCTTCACCAGTGCATGTCCACAGGACGGATTCATTGTGATCTGTATTGTTTCCCGAGAATTCTACTCTTTGGCCACTGGGAGGGTGGAGGCAGCATCGGGCACAGCAGGGAAGCCACACCACTGCCACGTGCAACTGGAGGACACCAGAGCCTCACAGAGCTTGGAGCTGCAAGTTTCCTATGTTCCTGGTCTTTTCGGGGTCCTCCAGGATGAGGTGGTCCCTCATTCTAGATTGTTCTAGAATGTTCTAGAATATTCCACCCCATTCTTGGGTCTACCCTCACACAGCCCTCAGAAACTGGAAGCGCAAGCGAGATGGATATGAGAATGTGCCACACTGAAGCAAACATGAGCAGTTTGTAGCAAGTGAGGAGGAGACTAGACTAGCCAAAGAAAAACTTAAAAACAGCCAAGAGCTTCATTAACACTACATTTCAAGGCACAAGAGTAATTAACAACAACAACAAAAAAGTCACTGTTTTTTCTGACTCATGGCAACCCCATGTGTGTCAGAGTAGAAGTGTGCTTCATAGGGTTTTTAATGGCTGATTTTTCAGAAGTAGATTGGCAGGGGTTTCTTCCGAGGCAGCTCTGGGTAGACTTGAACCTCCAACCTTTTGGTTAGCAGCTGAGCACTTAACCATTTGTGCAAATATCATGTCACACCTCTGCTCAAGGACCTGAATGACTCCCCATGGTCTACGTTATAGCATCCATTCTCAATTTCTCCCCTGGAGCCTCCAGGTTCTCCCATAACCTTGCCACATTCCACTTGGCCAACCTTGTCTTTTTCTATGGCTAAACGCAAACTCTTTACTCTAGTTGGATCTTTATTTCTCACATCTGCTGGCTCTGCTTTATGTTGTTTCTCTTGCCTAAGATGTCCTCCCCTCTTCCCTGTGCATTCACAATAAAAATGCCACCCCAGTCCCTACTCTTCCATAGAGTCTTTCCCAACTTCCGCAAATGCTGGTGATTCATTCCATCCTGGGCCAAAGTTCCAAGTGCTTATTGTCTTTATTCTGTCACTTTGTACCTGATACTCTAGTGTTTCATATATGTTAGTCTGGTTTTCCCTAGTTAGAAAGTGTGCTTTCTAATGGCAGGGAAATCCTGCCCCGTGGAGAGGTAATCTCCATCACCTCTCCATAGGGAAGGGTCTAAATACGTTCTGGTTTGGGAAAGAAATACCAAGTACTGTTATTGTAAATCGTCAATTGTCACAAGGGTTTTTTAAGCACTAAATCATCCCTATGAATTAACTCATCTACAAAGCACATTTTGATCCATTGGTATATTCTGACTAAATTAGGCTAAATTTGTATTTTCAGTACACTAGGAAATCTGTGACATTTCAATAGAGACTGGAGATGCAA